CAAACTTTCGATTTAACTTTTCACGTCGATTTTTGGAAGTTTGAAAACATTTGAAGAAACAGCTTATAAACGAACGTATTAACCGTTTGAGTCCCAAGCAGCGCGAAAAACCCAGCACATTTCGAGCGTTGTGTTACGTATTGTCGAAGTCGAGACTTATTGACGCAAGTAGATCACACAAAATAAATAGTAAATAGTAAATAGTACATTTTACAATAGGTGAAATAATACTATAATAATGTGCTTACAGACTTTCTTTTTCGATTCATTATACCTATTTAGGGATGCACCAAATTTAGAAAAGTGAAATAGTAAATCGAGGTTAATTTTTCACTTACTATATGCGTTGCTTCGTCTAATCATTTTAAAACACACAATTATTAACAGTGGAAAGAATTATTAACTGAAGAATATGGGAGACTACGTCCGATCATTTCGCAAATTGCAATAAAACTGATATTTCTCGGCATAAAATTAAACAAGCACTATCGCGCTGCTGGGGTATTTTCCTACATATATAGGGAAAGCGCGATCGCGCTGTTTGGGATTCTTCAACAATGTTTTTTCAATACCGTCTGCGACTCAAACGGTTAAAGGCTAGAACTGAATCGAGCCAGAATCTCGCCACCGCTTACTTTGTACTGAATTTGATGCTAATCTCAAAATGAACGCCAAAATTAGTAATACTGTGATGTGAGAGTAAGGACGTGACGAACATATGAGTAACATGCGTATGTTATGTATTATTTTTTATATATTCATTCGCACAACAATCTACAAAAGACAATTGAATGTGAATAGTCTGTTGTGCAAACTACACCAGGTAATACAATATATTGTGCGATTTTATTATATTGAAAAGCATAAGCTTCCAAGCGTTTTTGCCAAGGTGAATGTTCCCGCAACATATTTGCGCTGCACGCTAAATTGCGTATGGAGTAAAATTCAGGGGATAGATGGCATTGTCTCCACAATTACTTCGCAGTTAGTGAGAGAGAACTAAAAAAATACGAAGTGCGCGTAGGTGATACCATAAAGTACAATGTCGGTCTGCTTATGTCATTAGGTTCTGCTCGAAAGTCAGCAAATCGACTCCGCGAGACTGGCGGAGTCGAATGGCGAGACAATTCGCTATTATCAATTAGACGAAATATTGCTCGATATATACTCGCCAAGTTGTATAAACATATATTTAACACTATATACGCTGCGCGGAACGTACGAGACGGTGAACAATGGATACTGAGTGATTAGATCTATTATCTATGGATCTTTACCTTGCTATCAAATCGTACACAGGCTAATCGCATCCTTAAAAAAAGTGGTGAATCAAACTTCTGTAATGCCTAGTGTTTGTGCATTCTCTAAAACATTCAAATATTTAACCAACGTGTAAAATGGAAATGTTTTGAAGTGGTCAATCCGCCTGTCTCTATGCCTATGTGTAGTTCATTGTACCGTCGAAATCATAGATTCGTTCTCAAAATTCAAAAAAAAGATAGATCTCAAATTCTTTCTTATCATGTCCGTCAGAATAGGTTTGAAAAAGATAGTTCCAATAGCTCGGGCCACATATAACAAGAAAACAATAATTTCATCTTTCATCGCACCAAATCCATGGCACCAAAACTGATCAATATAACCTTCACGTCAAAAATGCACAATTGCACTTATTTACATGAATATGTAATATATATAAAACGAGTTGTAAAAAAGGTTTTTAAATACCTAATACATCGGCCAATAATTCCCGGGAATAGATAAAAAAATCGTTGTTTTAGAGAAATTCGAATTTATTCATTCATATAGTCTCTTTTACGAGTGATACAGACAGTTCAATGCTTCTGCAGTATTTCAATTGCTTTTTTTATACAACGATTTCTGAAGACTCTTAAAATACTCCACAGTTTCCGTAGCAGCCATTATACCGGCTCCTTATCTTAATTCTGGTGCATATTTCTTAGACTTGGGCACAAATAAGAGTCAACGTGGCCAGTTCTAGAGAAAATTATATGTGGGGCAGCAATTCGATCTGTAGTCATTGACTTGTACCTAGTACATTTATTGCATTGAAACAAAGCGCGTACTCATTTAGAAAAACGCTTCTCACAGCCCGAATTTGCATTATAGTGATCATTGTCTAGATTATCGAGAAAAAAGTTTCAAAATTCTTTTGATGTTTCCTTGCTCTTCATTCCCTTTTTGAACGTCGCTCAAAGTTGTAGGGGTCGGTACGACCTCGTCTAAAATCAGCAAACTAGCGACAAATTATTGTTTTCCACGGAGAAGAGTTGACGAAATCATTTTTCGAATCAACGATTACTTGAAGCGGTACTTTTTCACCTATGAAGCCAATCTTAGGAAATACTAACCGATATGTTACCATATACCATATAAGATTAATGTAATCGATTAGATAAAATTTTGATTTATCATATGATTAAATATTGTACACCATCTAGTGGTGAGTGTGGAAAGATTCGGCAGAAGTCTATTAGAAAATCATTCGTGTTTCTACATTGATTTATTAAGAACTGGACCATGTCGCTCTATCTAAATTTTTTCTATACGAAGAGGTTTACTTATTTTCGATATAATAAGTATATAAAATCATTGTGATTGGTTGCTTTTTATAAACCGTATCTGACGCCTTCATTTCTCTCGAAATTTGAAATACAGATAACTTTGACATGAATGTACGGTATATATTTCAGTTGTTTGCAAATTGTCGTTCATGATATATGAAAGTGTGAATAGATGGATGTCATTTACGGTACGGTTTCTGTTTTTAGCTGGATTAAAATGAAAAAAGTGATGCTGTAGCTACGGAAATGATTAACTTGGCCTGGAGTAAAAATATAGTAAGCTGTAAAACATTCAGAAAGTAGTTTGCGAGATTTCCTGAAAAACTTGTTGTCTGAAGAGCGATGGAAATTTGCGTATGTTCACCGACTACAACAAAAACAACGAAAAAAGTTATCTTAAAGTTGAGCAGGGAAGTTCTATCGAATGAGTCGTGCTTTCCAGCTCCAGGGAAGTTCTATAGAATGAGTCGTACTCTCTAGCTCCGTCTACTTCTGATTACCGCATGTTCAGATCGATGCAGCCATATTTAGCATATCCGATTTTGCAAAACTCGAGATAGCGAAGTTTCTACCATGAGAACGTACGGAGGTTACCCGATAAGAAGCAGAAGGCTAGTGATAGTGATGATGAATGTCTCGACTATTATATATATTATTCCACATCTGACAGTCTCAGATATGTTTATATAAAATAATTTTGCACCTGACAATTCGTATACATATGGAAGAGATAATATAAATGAAGAGCACTGAATTTACTAAAAAACACACGTGTTTAAGATAAATTAATATATCTCGGTACATCACAACGAGCATTAATACAAATAAATACTAATAAGTTTCTTAGTACTTGGAAAACGTGTAAAAGAATATGTTTATAAATGTTTATGTATATAATTACAGCGGTTACAACTAGATTCGTGTCAAAATTGCCTTTGCCAGGTGGTTAAACGAAACTATTTTTCCCACGAACTTTAATATAAATTCCTGTTAATTTAAAATTATTTTAAAATATTTAGTCATTGATGGCATGGTTGCAAATGAAGAATTTCAAATTTGAGGGCAATAAATATATACAGCGACACGTATTTCTGAAGTTTCAAACGCAAAGATTTTCTTTCGATAAAAAGCAACTCGTACTTTAAATTAAATCTTGTAAGCTTTCTGGGGACTACAAGTTTTGCAACAAAATTATGGATTCATTGCCAAATCTTAAACATGTGAAAATGCAATTCATATTATGAAAATTTTTCGTAGATTCGATCGTATTCATTTCATTAATATAAAAAAAGTAATTGTACTATAGTAAATCTACAATAGTAACATTGAATTGAAATTAGATTTGGGCATAGTTTAATTATTCGTGCTTTCTTAAAGCCAAAAAATGAAAACAAAAAATAAATAAAAATTATAACTTTGACATAATCGTAAATTAAGTATGAAGAAGATATTTTACGGTACTTTCTCCAATAAGGTATAAATTATGCCATCTATTGAAAGTTGAATCGAGCTTTCACTAAGTCAAGCTAAAAAGTTAATATGAAATTGGCCTTCGCCAACTGAATCTTCACAAATTTGTGAACTTTTTTAAATCATTCTAAGAGGTAGACGTTTACGTTATCTGTCTGCATACGTCATTTTAAAAGAAACACTAACTTAATCGTACTCACTTTATGCTGGAAAATAAAAAAATTGTTTTGGAGTAGGATGGAATCTTTTAACATTTATCGATAGCTGGTGGATGATATTTGATTGCAAGATAGAATGAATAATCATTCGCTAAACGGCGAACTTTGACCGGAGATTTTGCTAAAGAAAACTTTAAAATCTAACTTTGATTGATTGAGAACTTTGACAACAAAACTTCATAAGAAAAAGTTTAAAAATAAATTAAAATCACTATTCAGAACTCACAATTTCGGAAAGGTTAGAATTTTTTTCCAATTTGGAGCAGATTCAAGAATAACCTCGTTCAATTCAGAATAACCTTGATGAAGACATGGCGAAAAAATTAAGAAATCAAATTTGCTCTTCTAAAAACCTTTTAAGATCGTATTCGCAGGTGCGATTAAATAGATTCTACTGATCACGTATATAGATATATGTCATGAGTTTTTGAAATAATACATGGCAAATCCAACACATATCTTATGATGGGTATAAAAACAGATAAAAAAATTATCGTCTTGGTCAATTCAAGCACGTGGTCAATGTACAACATCACGGTTTAAGCCTGTTACTCATACGCGAACATTTCGCTGTCTTTTTGGAAATGCTAAACTTTTGAATTGAACTTCTCTGGTGGGTCATAGTGAATATAACAGTCGCTTTTCTTTTTTAACGTTATTAGATAAGTACAATATACTCCTCTCCTTTTTATTTCATGTATTTTCAATGACAATGTAAGACCAAATTTTTCGGTGGACGGGCCAAGATCGATTCCTAGACGCGGTATCAAATCCAGATTACTTCAATTTGGCGCAAGCTATGGGTATGATGAAAATATAATAATAAAAAAAAATAATAATAAAACAAATTTAAATAGGTTACCATATAAAGGTCATGAGCAACCTTTTTCTTCGATCAATAACGCTTCGGTGTCCATGCCGACAAATAAGATGCATTTAAGAGTTTGTGCTATCGCAAAGGCATTCGTGGTACTATATATAGTGGTCACTTATTCAGAATAAGGTGCAGATATTTATGATATTTCTTTAAAGATAAAGAGGAAATATTCCTGCATACGAAGTTTAATTTTTCCGAAGAACATTAAGATTAGAAGAAACCTACCCAAGAAAAACCTGTAAAAGTGTATCGAGAAAAAGGCAACATTAGTTTAAAAGAGAGTAATCGTGTTATGCCATGGCACATACATCATAGAGTTACATACAAGAATTGAATTTTCGAAAGTGTTTTTAAGATAGTTGCCAGCTGTTTTCACTTCAAGGCCAGAAACTCTTGCGTAAGGAGAATGCCAAGGAATGTTTCTTAGATGGCGCCAATTGATACATATAATGAACATTGAATGATTAGGTAATACTATCGTGCCTGCAGTCTACTTATATGCATTTATTTGAATTGATGCACATGATATTTTTACATTTGGACGGAGCTTTCTCTCTAAGCTAACTTAGTTCTAAGTGCTTAAACTATTGTCCCTTCTTTTATTTTGCTCTTCTGCCTAACTAAAGTACGCTCTTTATCAAAATAAAAAATTTATACTTCATTATCAATACAAATTTTTAATTTTACGGAAAATATATATCTCAGAAAAGAACGAACGAAGAAAGGGCGATCTACAATTGAACAATTCAGAAGCCAGTCATCGCTAGGTTGCTTCTCAAGAACTGAAGCCAAGATTTGTGAGTTATTCGAAATTTTGAAATGATAATAAAAACATATAAAAAGCACAACTTTTATATTTGGAGACCTTCAGCTATTGATGCACTTGCAATACATCTGATTTATACGGTTCGCTATTGTAGCTATCCCCAAATATAAACAGATGATCCTATTAATTGCAAAGCGTTACTGCGAAGGTTTCAACATTTCGTCTTGTTGTTAATGTTCCGGTGGGTGCTAATTTATAGATTTAAATCTTCGCGCTAAAATTTGATCGTAGCAAGACTACTATGCGATATACAAATATTCTATCGCTGATACAACTGGAACAACCCTTTATGGTTAAGATCGTACGACTTTCCATTTTTAAACGATTGAATAATCTTTAAACGTGTAGAAATTTGTAATTTATTAATAGCTAAAGATTCCGTCAATCTTTAAAAGGTTAAGGTTGCTTTCAAATATGTCTTTTGCACAATGTTAATATTACAATTATTAAGCCGTCTTATCTTTCGTGTTCTTCCAATTCAAAAAACACTTTTTAAAATACGCGAAAAATGTACTGGCATTGTTTCAATGAGTTGTACTGTACTAAACTACGCACTCTGAAATTTGAAACTTTTTGTCTGCATTCTGAAATAAATTCTTCTGACTTGAAAAATTAAGCAAGGTACGACATAAATTAAAATAAAATCTGAAACTAAGGAAAGTATCCTGACACATAAACATATTAAAATAACAGTGTAAATATCGAATTGGAGATAACAACGTTGTGCTTTTGCATAAGTTTTGGAATTCATGTGTCGCTACCAAGTTTGACTTGGTAAAAGTATGCATTATATATGTTCCTATTAACCAGAAGCAAACTTTGTTCAACTCCTGAGTCACAGATTGAAAATAGAATGCAATTATTTCAAGATCAGAGAAATCCAATCACAACTTCAGTTTTTTATTTTTTTTGCAGCGCTGCTCATGATGTACGTCTTACAGCGTTAATTGCGCATTTCAAATTTTATTTATGCGTTTTCTTTCTTCACAATGTTATAATTCCAGTTCACTACTTGCGGTTAGCAGATAGGGAAGGTACAGTTGAGAGACCTTCTCTCTACTGAGATTATAGCGGGTCCTATCAAAATTCATCATCTCATGTTTAATAACTTTAATTTACCATCAGCACTAAGCTTGCACTGAGGTTTAGGTGACCATGGTTAAATTTGAGTTGAACATGTTGTGTTTATCTCGAACTGATTATCACGACCACCAGATGACATGAAAAACAAAATTCTTAAACGAAGCAAAGATAAACGGTACTCTACGTGTGCCTCAGTTAAAACAGTGCTAGGGATTCCAAAGTGTTGCAGCCACCTCTTGTCCTTTTTTTCTTTATTTAATACAATATAATCGAGGGAAACAAAAGGCTGGTACTTCTCTCCTTGAAATTGTTCTAATACTTGAATGTTATTTCGTGATAAGCGAAACCAATACTTGGGTGATAATTGATGATAATCGGAACTAAAAGAAGAGTAAAAATTTGATTGATACGCCTGTCACAAGATGTTTCCGGCAAAATAGATCGAACGGAGAAATTAAGTTCTTCGTCTGCTAATGGATATTGCGTTTTCAATAATTGGTTTTTTCTCTTCTTTTGCTCCTATTGAGCTTTTCTAATACTTGACTAAAAATCATTTACTGATGATTCATAAACGGTCCAATTAAAGTTCACAGTATCATATAATGTAATGAAGAAATGGCTCTCTTTTAAACGAAGAAACATGAACTTTATATTTACATTGGCTCCCTTTTCCATGTGGCGCTCATTTACATCTTCTTCCCGGCTAATACAGATTCAATATTTCATCTTGGTGTCTTTGGTTACATTAAGCGTGAGCGTAAGTCGCTGTCAGATTTACATTAGTGGCCTTCTTATAATTTTTGGTCTGCTAATCCAACAAGCATACAAAAATAATAAATTTTTTGTCGTAAAAGAAAAGCAAAAAATTATGTTAACTTTTTCTGATGAAAAAACTGTTTTGTAAATAATTGGTAAAATTGTAAATAGTTTGAATGGCAAACAAGCGACAGAAATTTTCAAAAATGTGAAACATTCCAGCTATGTAACTTTTGTTTCAATTTTTATCCATTGGTCCAAAGGTTTTATTTTTCGCTGAAGTTTATATGATCCTCGTAATTATGTGTACTAGGCTTTACATTAATATCGGCTATAAATTATAGGTAATAATATTTACATTATTGTGAATGCGCGTCAATCATGCCCAGATTCAAATCAGATTTTAGTTAAATTAAATTGGGAGTACACACTCCAAGTTGCAGATTTTCATTTCAAGTTTTACGACAAAAAATAATCGTAAATGACAAACAGACAGACATCTAGTTTAGTGTATTTTAGAGAATCTCCGACATTTACTTCTGGATGCTACAAATGAGAGGCAAATCTAGTACACCCTTACCCTTCGGTAAAGGGTATAAAAAAGAGATAAAGAAAATGTCTAAGATTTAACACTTAAGCATATTTCCAAATGAATAATTTAATTTTTTAACGTGGGTCATATCTTTGCATGTTATGTCATTGCAGGTACATATTTACAATTATCAGTTATCTAATTGGAGTTTTCATTTTTGCAACTATCGTCGGCCAGGTAGGAAATGTTATCACAAATCGTAATGCCAACCGATTAGAATTTGAAAGACTTTTAGACGGAGCTAAAACATATATGCGACATCACAAGGTATATAAGAGCATCTGCGAAAATAATTGCAAAAATTTTAACGATTCCTTTTGACTACAGGTTCCTGGCGGAATGAAGCGGAGAGTACTACGATGGTATGATTATAGTTGGTCTAGAGGTCGTATTCAGGGCGGTGGAGATATTAATACAGCTCTTGGTCTTTTGCCTGATAAATTGAAAACTGAACTCGCTTTGCATGTAAACCTTAGTGTGCTCAAGAAAGTTACTATATTTCAAGAGTGCCAACCAGAGTTTCTTCATGACTTAGTCCTTAAAATGAAAGCTTATATTTTCACTCCTGGAGATTCTATATGCCGAAAGGGAGAAGTAGCCAGAGAGATGTTCATTATAGCCGATGGAATATTGGAAGTGTTAAGTGAAACCGGCAAAGTCTTAACCACGATGAAAGCTGGCGATTTTTTTGGGGAAATTGGTATCCTTAATTTGGATGGATTAAACAAGTAAGCCCAGAATATTTTATAACGATATTACCCACCACCAAAAGCAACCGAAATTAGTTGGGTTGCGACTATCGAACGAAATACAAGGGTTTTGTATCTATATACTAATGCGTCTACTGAAATAAATTAGCAACAAAAAATAAACGTTATTGTTCTTTTGTTCCTACTTATCTCAACGTACTTAAGCACAAATTTAATAATGGTTTACTAAAAATTCTTAAAAACTGTCTATATACACGGTGTTTTGGCAGAATCATATACTTTATAAGTTAAAAGAATCGTATCCGAAGAAAACATTTCTAATAAAAAATCCGAGAAATAGAACAAGGAAAAAACAACATTTTTGAGTGTTCCCGAACTTCCAAATCGAATGTCTCAATAAAATTTACGTGTAAGAAGAAGTTATATCAGTTTTTAAGGAATGTTTGCAGTAATTTTGCTTAAAATTCAATTGAAGTCGTCTAAAGATCTTAGTATTGGATTTACCTGAACTTTATAAATAATATATATAGTATCTATATATATACATATATATTAGTATATATATAGTATCTATATATATACATACATATTATTTTTAGGTATACTAAAGAAGCTTTTAAATTTTCAGGTATTTTAAAAATTCTACCGTTTTCAATTTGAATACGAGTTATTTACGAGAAGTCGTTCTTGTGTTAATTATAACATTGTAACGGGAACCGTGTTTTGTGTTTTGACGTGATTTATTCGTGATTTTATTTTTGAAGTTAAGTTCGTATCGCTGAATTTCGATTTTTAGGATAATATAGTTTTGTCTACAAATCTTAGGAGGTTTATTCACAAATTATTTGCAGGAACTTATATTTACAACGCTTTAATTCTCATTCTGATATTGTCCGTTCGAATATTGCAATTCAAATTCCGTCACTCGACTCTGTTTGCCTTCCGCTAATATTCTATTTATACACTCTTTTACCATTAGCTAAATTCATCATGAAGTTTATGTGTCAATCCTTTTTCTTGCCAAATTTTTGGTAATTGTCGTTAATCTTTTCGCAACTAGTCAACTGAATGACACAGGTAATGCGTCAGGAATGTGTTTTTGACTTTTAATTTCTTCTCAATTTGATGTCTTCGAAATCGATGAAAACTTAAATTTTCGAATGTGCGATGTTCATAGCGGTTCACGTTAGGAAGACACAAATTTTTTTCAACCTTGTTTTAACTTCTTTTAAGAAGCAAATAATCATTCATTATTTGAAGTGAGCATAACTGGAAGAGTCAAAACATGTTGAGGAGGCAAAGTTAAATGTTAAAATAGGTGCCGAGGGAATTGTTATCAAAAACTTTGCACATCGTACATAGCAAAGACCATTTAATTCGGATTCTTATACAGAACTCGAAAAGATTATGTTCGCGAAATTAAAGCAATCAAGCAAGATTAACGGTACGACGCCTTAAAGCGATTGAACACAAAAACTGTTGCAGTAATATACAGCAAAATAGTATGGTGTAAAATAATTTCCACGGGAATATATTTTGTGCACATAAGCATATTACTCCGTTTTGTTTTCAAATACACAATTCTGTCTTTCTCTCTTTCTTCTCTCAGCATTGCTTGCCATTTCAGGTATATATAATAGATTTGAAATGTTTCTCAAAGTATATGCAGCGCTGTATCGTTGTATTCAACTTCATAAACAACAAAAATATCACACAATCTACTTTGGTCGTAGCCATAGTGACTGCTTAGCCGTAAAGGTACACATCTACTAGGCTGTGGCCGTCACCCACTTACTGGCTATTTCCGTATTACACGAATAAGTGACATTTTTTGAGTCATTGGTCATATAGTAAATATGTATGTATTTATATATATACTGTAACGAGTCTTCTTAACCGGGGTGGAACTCAGTCAATCCGGGGTTCGTTGCAAGAATATATATTTAGAACGAAATGTTCTGAATCTTCGGTGGGATGGTTTAAAATTCCCTTTTATTGTATATTAGGCGGGGTACAGCGTTGTGTAGAGGCTGGCTAGGAAAAAGGAACCAGTGAGGTGGCCCGACTTCTGGTGTGGCTTACACGTAGTGAGAAATTTATTTATTCTTGTTATTATTTTTCCTTTACTTTGAATTACCGCGGGGCGCTACAGAAGAACAGAAACGCTGCCAGTGTCATAGCGGCTTTGGCTCTCTGGGCCGATGGTTCGTCCCTGGTTGGTATGTAAATAAAAAAAAGACGTCTCCCAGTCCTTCAGGGATGGCGATTAAAAAGCTGAACCAGCACATCCACTGTCCGTTAAGTCAGTAGTCCTAAAGGTCCTTCATGGATGGCGATTAAAAAGCTGAACCAGCACATCCCCTATCTGTAAAGTCAGTAGTCCTGAAAGTCCTTCAGGGATGGCGATTAAAAAGCTGAACCAGCATATCCCCTATCCGTAAAGTCAGTAGTCCTAAAAGTACTTCAGGGATGGCGATTAAAAAGCTGAACCAGCACATCCCCTATCCGCAAAGTCAAAACAACTCTTCCTAAAGGTTAACTTGTCAAATTGTCCGTGGGAACTTACCTTAGACGGCTATGACACCAAACTGAACGACTCTGTGCGATGCGCTGTAATTTTATAGTCGGCGTCTCGCTCGCTGGACCTGTTGCCAACATGTTCTTAGCGTGTGCTTATCCTCTAAGGAACTATATTTGTGGCTTAATTTATGTTGGCTACGATGTCTTTGACGCGACCTGCATGATATTACTTATGACTAACTTACTGCTAAAACACTCTTACGTGCTGGCCTCTGTTTATCTTATTGTTACTTATTCATCATGCACCTAGGTACCATGTCGCGTGATCTATTTACCGTTAGGTGTGTGAGTGCTATGTTTCTTAATCTATGTGTCCAATACTTCGCTTATGTTTATGTGGCTTAACGGTATTTTCTGTTTATGTGTGTTTGTCCATGTTTGGGTATGCATGTTTATGTGTGTGATTCTATGCCTTTGTACATTTTCCTTTGATGTATTTTCTACCTATTCTTGGGCTCACGTGTGTTTGTATAGTTTTATGCCCTATGCTATGTTCATATGTGCTACACATTTTGATACGTAGGTGTTTATGTTCTTCTCTGGTTGCCTGTGTTTGTGTATTTTAGGGCATAGAGACTTTGCGTGTTGCTAGCGTCTGTGCGTTTTGTATGCTTATCCCTTATTTTCTACCTAGGTTCATTCCTGTAAGTTATGTATGCCCTAACAGCGTTGAAGATTTCATATACCCTAACGGTATTGTACATTCTATGCAATGTTTCTGCCATTTATACATTTTGCATGAGTTTTTTTACATTTTACAGCATAAAGACTTTTGTGTGGCGCTAAAGTCTACGCGTTTTGCATTCTCGTATATGCTTGTTCCTTATTTTCCTACCTACATTTAATTCTGTGTGTCTTGTTTTACCCTAACGGTGCTGTATGGCTTCTGGGTATGTTCTGTGCTTATATGAGTGGACGTGTATCCTACTGAGTTCATACCGATTCGATCTTGCTGATTTGTATAAGTCGGGTGCAGGTTGTGGTATCATAATTATGCTTTTATACCGGTTGTGTTCTAAGACTTTGTACATGGTTTCTTATATTTACACCTTTATACCGGTTTGGACATACTTTTCTTATATTCATGCTGTTATACAGGTTTGTACATAATTTCTTGTATTCATGCTTGTATACCGGTTTGGACGTAATTTCTTATATGTATGCTGTAGGAGGTTGTTCATGTTTTCTTCATTCACTCAGACGTTTACGGACAGCTCGGACTGACAGGTGGTTCGTTGTGGGTAATTGTTTCAGGCGGACGGACTTGTATTCCGTAAGAGAGGAAAACCGCTTCTTTACAATACATATATATATATACATGTAAGAATTTGTGGCAAGGGTTTAACGTGGGTTCCTGCCTGAAAGGCTTAACCCCACGGTGGCCCAAGCCACTTTTAAGCGTACTACGCCCCCTGGCGAGTTAGACTATCCCCACAGAGTAGGGGCCTAAACAGCACCAGAGTCCAGATCAGAATTTGTGGCAAGGGTTTAACGTGGGTTCCTGCCTGTAAGGCTTAACCCCACGGTGGCCCAAACCACTTTTTAAGCGTACTACGCCCCCTGGCGAGTTAGACAATCCCCACAGAGTAGGGGCCTAAACAGCACCAGAGTCCAGATCAGTTTATTGTGTATGGAACAATAAACCCCACTCTGGTGAATGGCGAGGCCTAGCTGCACTCATTGTTCCATTTTAGCTAGGAACTCGCCAACCACAACCACCACGAGTACTCCCCGAAGGGCCGCACCCAAGCAGTCAGGACTCACAAATTGATCAACTGACTGCTTCCGCCATAAGGCTTCCACTGTGCTGTTGATCAATTACCACCATTACCCGCAGGCATCCGTGACATGTGTTCAAAAGTAAAAATAGGTAAAAGGGGAAAACTTATTCGTCATATCCCTTTTCCATTTTTGCATGTATTAATTAATTTACCAGACATTTTCTATCAATCGGCCAAAGGGAAGGCCGTCCGTCAATTCCTTTTTGCATTAATAGTATAATTAATTTATTTATTACGACTTAAGGACAAAGTCCATCATATACCCGCAGGCATACGTGGCTTTGTGAGGCGAGCTTCCTGACCCCCGTGGCTCCCAGTTTGTTTTGCAAAGCCTTATGGCATACTTTGGGCGGTTGTTAAAAACAACCGTACTTGCTTCGGATTCTCCATACTTTCCTGGTTGCCAGCCCCAAGTGAACTACTTTTCTTCAAGATATATAGGTCTCGGGTATTGCACTGAACATGGTAGACTAGTCTAATGCACTCTACCATGCACTCGCTAGATTACTACCTTCATTGTACTTAAATACCATTCAATATATTTCCTCGGTAGTAACTAGCTTATTGAGTAAGAGCTCTTCTTCCAGCCAACCCCTCCACCATCTCTCAGAAACTCGTCGCCGAGTTAGCAGCCCAAAACCTTAAACTCTTCTTAGC